TGGGGGGGAGGGGGGCGTTCGCCGCCATCCTGGAACGTCTGATAGGAGAGGAATGTGCCAAATGTCAAGGAGACGCCGGGCACAGATAACTCGCCGAGGTAAACGCCCCGCCGGGAGCGCGGCCCGGGTGATGATTAACCCCAAAATGTCCCGTCGGAGGAGGGAGAAGAATCCGGGAACAGCTTCCCACCGGCTCATCGCATCTCCATCCCGACCACCCCCTACAGAGCGCCCCTCTACACCCGCAGAGCGCTCACTGACCCCTCCCCCGAGGGCGGAGTCACACCGTCCTATGACACAGCGCCCCTCTACCCCCGCAGAGCGCTCACTGACCCCTCCCCCGAGGGCGGAGTCACACCATCATATGACACAGCGCCCCTCTACACCCGCAGAGCGCTCACTGACCCCTCCCCCGAGGGCGGAGTCACACCGTCATAAGACAGAGCGCCCCTCTACACCCGCAGAGTGCTCACTGACCCCTCCCCCGAGGGCGGAGTCACACCATCATATGACAGAGCGCCCCTCTACACCCGCAGAGCGCTCACTGACCCCTCCCCTGAGGGCGGAGTCACACCATCATATGACAGAGCGCCTCTCTGATATTGATCACTGATAGGACCCTTCCCTCTGATATTGATCACTGATAGGACCCTTCCCTCTGATATTGATCACTGATAGGACCCTTCCTTCTGATATTGATCACTGATAGGACCCTTCCTTCTGATATTGATCACTGATAGGACCCTTCCCTCTGATATTGATCACTGATAGGACCCTTCCCTCTGATATTGATCATTCTATCAGTGCTGTGATTGGCGGGTCGCTGACGTGTGGTGTTTTAGGTGGAGTGTAATCCGTGTCATTCCGGAACTCTGACGGTGTCTTCTCTCCGCAGGAATCTGTATAAAGTGCGGGAAGGGAGTGTATGGAGCCAGCCAGGCCTGCCAAGCCATGGGAAACCTTTTCCACACCAACTGCTTCACCTGCTGCTCTTGTGGTAAGTCCTTGCTTAGTGTCTGAGCTCCACCCGACCCCTCGGGGGGGCCACAGAGGCTCCATTCACTGATGAACTGCAGAACTGAAAAGTCACAATGCGAAAGGCTCCTTCATTTTCCCTTTACCAGTCGGACACATGTGGATATTAGGCTCCGCCTCCTGTGTGAGACCTTTGTTTTAGATGGAGTGGGGAGGGTTATAATCTGCCATCTATATGGTACGGAGGGGGCGTCTCACTTGTAGCCACACGCCGCTTAAAGGGAGGTTCCTCCCAAGAGTAGGGGGAGAAGGAGAGAGGCTCCACCCAGGAGGAGGGGAGAAGCTCCACCCAAGAGGAGGGGAGAAGCTCCACCCAAGAGGAGGCGTGCCCCCCAGAGCAGGAGATGACAATCAGAATTTCTTCCCAAGCACCCGGCAGTGAGAGCCCAGAGTCATATGATGTGTAATATTGGGGGGATGAT